CATGCAACCTTCTCTAAAATCACCCACTTATTCGGCAATGTAAAAAACCTCAACAGAGACAAAAAAAAAAAAAAATTGAAATAGTCCCCTATATCTTATCAGACACCATGCTTTATTATTGGAATTCAACAATAACACAAATGACAGAAACCCTTACGAAATCATGGAAACTGAACAATGAGCAATTGCACCATAACTGGGTCAAGAAGAAATAAAGAAAGAAAGTAAAAACTTTCTAAAATACAATGAGAGTGAGGACACAACATACCCAAACTCATGGGACACCTTGAAAGCAGTGCTACAAGGGAAGTTCATTGCAATAAGTGCCCATATGAAGACAATGGAGGATAGCCATATTAAAGAATTAACAGTACAACTGAAAGCCTTAGAACAAACAGAAGCAAACTCACCCTGGAGGAGTAGAAACTGAGAAATAATCAGTTTGAGAGATGAAATCAATAAAGTAAAACCAGGAAACCAATACAAAAAAAAAATCAATGCAACAGAGTTGTTTTTTTGAGGAAATCAACAAGATAGAAAATCCTTTATCCAAATTAATGAAAAAGCAGAGAGAGAACATGCAAATTAACAAAATCAGAAGCAAAAAGGGGGACATAATAACAGACACTGAAAATTCCTGTCAATTTTCAGGTAATACTTTGAAAACTATACTCCACAAAATTTGAATATTAAGAAAAAATGGACAAATTTCCAGATAACTGTCACTTACCAAAATTAAATCAAGACCAGACAAGCAACTTAAATAGACCTAAAAGCCCTAATGAAATAGGGCTTTTATGAAATGTCATCAAAAGCCTCTCAAAAAAAAAAAAAAAAAAAAAAAAAAAAAAAAAAAAGAAAGAAAGAAAAAGAAAAAGAAAATCCCAGGGCGCCCAGGGCCAGAATTCTACCAGAATTCAAAGAAGAGCTAATACCAACACTCTTCAAATTGTTTCGCACAATAGAAGCAGAAGGTTCATTACCAAACTCTTTTTATGAGTCCACAATTACCTTTGTACCAAAGCCACACAAAGACACAACTATGAAAGAAAACTACAAAATAATATCACTCATGAACATTGATGCAAAAATACTCAATAAAATACTGGCAAATTGAATCCAAGAATACATCAGAGATATCATCCACCATGATCCAGTAGGCTTATACCTGGTTTGCAGGGAAGGTTCAATATATGAAAATATATCAATGTGATCAACTATATGAACAACCTGAAAAAGAACAGCCATATGACCATCTCACTAAATGCTGAAAAAGCCTTTGACAAAATTCAACACACTTTCATTATAAAGGTTTGGGAGCGATTGGGAATAACAAGAACATAACTAAACATAATAAACAATATATAGTACACCAACAGCCAACATCAAGCAGAATGGTGAGAAGCTTAAGGTGACTCCTTTACAATCAGGAACAACACAAGGGTGTCCTCTCTCTCCATATCTCTTCAATACTGTAGTTGAAGTTCTAGCTAAAGAAATAAGAAAACAAAAGAAGATCAAGTGTATAAAAATTGGAAAGGAAGAAGTCAAACTTTCACTATTTGCAGATGATATGAAAGTTTACATAAGTGACTCAAAAATCTCTACCATGGAACTTCTACACCTTCAGCAAACTAGCAGGATACAATATACAGTTAAAAAATCAGTACCCTACTATATAGAGACGACAAAGGGGCTGAGAAAGAAATCAGAGGAACATCACCCTTTACAAAAACCACAAACAACATAAAATATCTTGGGGTAATGCTTACCAAGCATGTGTAAGACCTATATAGTAAGAACTTTGTGTCTTTAAAAAAAAGAAATTAAATATGATACCAGAAAATGGAAAGATCTCCCATGCACTTGGATAGATAGTAAAAATGGCAATCTTGCCAAAAATAATCCACAGATTCAATGCAATCCCCATCAATAGCCCACCACATTTCTTCACTGACTTTGATAGGATAATACTTAACTTTATTTGGAAAAACAAAAGACCCAGGATAGCCAAAACAGCCAAGTACAATAAAGGAACTTCAGGTGGCATCACTATCCCCAACTTCAAGCTCTACTATAGAGATATTGTCCTGAAAACAGCTTGGTATTGGCATAAAAATAAACAAGTATACAAATGGAATCGAATCAATAATCCTGACATTAACCTTCACATCTATGAACACGTGATTTTTGTGAAAACAGCTAAAAGTATACAATGGAAGGAGGAAAGCATCTTCAACAAATGGTGCACACACAACTGGAAAAAATGTGTGTAGAAGACTGCAGATAGACCCATGTCTATTGCTGTGCACAAAACTCAAGTCCAAATGGATCAAAGACCTCAACATAAATCCATCCTCACTGAATCTCTTAGAGGAGTAAGTGGGAGGTACCCTTGAACCAATTGGGACAGGATACCACTTCCTGAATATAACTCCAGTAGCACAGACACTGAGATCGACAATTAATAAATGGGACCTCCTCAAACTGAGAAGCTTCTGTAAGGCAAAGGACACAGTTGACAAGACTGAATAACAGCCCATAGACTGGGAAAATGTCTTCACTAATCCTACATTTGACAGAGGGCTGATTTCCACAATATACAAAAAACTCAAGAAATTAGTCAGCAAAACACCAAGTAATCCTATTTAAAAATGGGGTATAGAACTGAAGAAAGCATTCTCAATAGAGGAAATCAAAAAGGCTGAAAGACACTTAAGAAAGTGTTCAACATCATTAGCTATCAGGGAAGTGCAAATGAAAACAACTCTCAGATACCATCTAAATCCTGCCAGAATGGTTAAAATTAGAAACACCAATGACAACTTATGCTGGAGAAGATGTGGAGAAAGGGGAGGGAACACTCCTCCACTGCTTGTGAGAGTGCACACATGTACAGTCATTTTGGAAATGAGTATGGCAGTTCTTCAGGAAAATGGGAATCAGTCTACCACAGGACCAGGCAATCTCCTTCTTAGGAATATATTCAAATGATCCACATCCTTGCAAAAATACATGTGCTCAACTACGTTCATAGCAGCATTATTTGTAATAGCAGGAACCTGGAAGCAACCTAGAAGCCCCTCAACTGAAGAATGGATAAAGAAGATGTGGCACATTTACAAAATGGAATAATATTCTGTGGAATAAAAAAACAACTGAATCTTGAAATTCAGAGGCAAATGGGTAGAACTTGAAGAAACCAACCTGAATGAGGTAACCCAGTCACAAGAAGTGGAGCATGCCATGTACTCACTCATATAGGAATTTTAGACATAGAGCAAAAGATCTGCAGCCTATAATTCACACCACCAGAGAAACGAGGTTACAAGGATGAATCTAAGGGATTCATATAAGGTCCCTCACAAAAGGGGAAAGGAATAAGATCTTCTGAGCATATTATGAGTTGGGGGGGCAGTGAGTGGAGGGGAGATAAGAGAAAGATAAGGGGAAAGGAAAGCATTTTGGACTGGGAAGGTTGAGTCAGGAGAGGAAGAGCTAAAACAAGAAAGAAAGAGAGACTGAAAGAGAGAGAGAGAGAGATACCATAAAAGAGGGAACCATTATAGTTTTGAAGAGAAAACTGACTCTAGAGAAATGTACAGAGACATACAAGACTGACCCCAACTAACAATTTGCGCAACAGTGGAAAGGGTACCATAAATGCCCTTCCCTGATAATGAGATTGATAACTAAGTTATTTACCATCATGGAGCCCTCATCTAGTAGCTGATGGAAACAGAAGCAGACACCCACAACTAAACACTGAGCAGAACTAGAAACCAGATGCAGAGAAGGAGGACGAGCGCAGGCTACAGAAACCCACAGAGACAGCTGCCCTGAACAAGGAGGAGCCAATTGGCCCAGACTGATAGCTGGTAATCTAGCATTGGAGTGACTCAGACCTCCTGAACACGGGTCTCAGTTAGAAGGCCTGGGCAGTCTAAAGGACCTCTGACAATGGAACCAGGATGTATCCCTAGTTCACAAAAGGACTTTGGGGATGCATTCCCCATGGAGGGATACTCCCTTAACCTAGAGGCAGGAGGGAGGGCCTAGTCCCTATTCCATATGATTTGACAGATTTTGTTGACCCCTCCTAGCAGGCATCACTCTACTTGGGGAGTGTGTGGGAGGAATGTTATGGGAGGGTTGTTGGGGGCATGGAAAGGTAGGAGAGAGGTAGGAATGGCTGGAGGGAGAGGTAACTAAGATATATATGTAAAATAAGAAAAATAAATAAAAAAGTGCTGTCCAATGCTGTTCATCATAGTGTCTATATTGTCCTCATTTTTTCCTACACTGTGCTTTCACTTACATGACACAGACAAAAGATGCACAATCACTTTGTATAAGGATGATGGTTTTTCTTGCAGAGTTCTGAAGTCAATTTTCTTTCTCCTGTTTATTTTCCCCCATTTTTTAAATTTCATTTTATATTCCAATCACATTTCTCCCTCCCACATCTACTCCCAACCCCTTTGCCTCCTCCCACCCTCCTAACCTTCCTCCTTGCCCAACCCCAGTCCACTCCTCATAGGTAAGGGCTGCCATGGGAAGTCAACATTCTGTCACAACGTTCTGGGACAGGGACAGGCCCCTCTCCCATGTATTAATAGTGAGCATGGAGACCCTCGATAGGGAGTAATAAGCTAGTTCATGTAACAGGTTTGTATCATGGTCCTAATACTAGGGGCCCCTCTGATATTTCAAACTTCACAACTATCTCCCACATATGAAAGGCCTAATATTGTCCCCTGAAGTCTCCACTGTTGCAAATCTTGAGTTCATGAACTTCTGCATGTGCTTTCTTTTTGCCTTTAATTTTAGAAAGTTTTGTCAAGTAAACAAATTGATGTTTGTATCTAGATAGTCATACAGTGCGCCCGTGTTCCACCCCCCTCCATAATCAACATAGACAACCAAGTCCACTACTTATGGAACATTTAAAATTCTACATCCTATATTTAGCTGCCTGAGAACACAAATCTACTTCTTACCTGTGTGGTAAAACTTCCCTGAAAATCCAAGGTTGAAGGTAAAATTTGCAACCTGAGTGCGCAGAAAATTTTGAGTCTCTAGTAATGCCTGAAATAAATAAGAAATTAACATGGTTTTAGAACAATAAATTGAAGCATTGGGATGCCACTTTCACCAGTGTGTGTACGCATGAGAGAAATAACAGGAGCTTTGGTGTCTGATGGGCATCAATTGTGTATTCATATTACAGCTATTGTAATTATTACGGATGTTATTTTATTGAAGGTCACAGAACTGTGAAACAGTTAAATCCTGAGCACATTATGCATCATTGAGAGCCAATTCTCCAATTGCACAGCCTTGAAATCATTTTTTCATTTTGTACAAGACATTTCTTGAATTTCAGATTATTACATTTCCTTTCCAGGGGGAAACTTTCAGAATTGTTGCTATAGACAAGTCCTATGTATGTTACTATGGAACAGGGCAGCACTTTTATTTGTACTACATTTCATTATGTCACCGTGTTACTGCTCTCATGATCTTAAAGGTAAAATTATTGAAGTGAAAACTTGAGTTTTTACTTCATAAAGTAATGAGCAATGTACATTTTACAAGGCATTGCTTGCAATTCTGAAAAGAAAATTATGGAATAAACATGCTATTTGTTGCAAAAATTATTCTCTATTTTCCTAACATAGTGAACATTTCTTTACTTCCTAGATTTTGAATTACACTATTGTAACTTCCCATTTGTAGGTAAGATAAGAACACATTGATAATAATTGGCCAGGATTACTCATTTTATTAGTCCTCCAGTGCTATCATCCCACATTGAGAATACGTTCATATTCTTTCTTTCTTATTGGTACGACTACTGATTTATTGACTGAGAACATTTATCCTATTTTAAAATAGCTTTTACAAGAGAACTTTGTTCTGGTAGAAAACTGGTGCTTTTAATTTCAATATTTTTGGTTACTGAATCCATCTGTTAGGGTGTAAAAAGAGCCGAAGTTTAGATTGTTTACATGGCATTAGTAATGATGAATAAGTTTTGGCCTCAAACATCTTTATGGTCCTTACTATTCTTTGTAAATTGTTTGAATTTAAAGAAAGAGAGAGGTAAAAACATTGATATGAAGAAGGAAGTTGGGAAGGAAAGGAGAAAGGGAAGGAGGGAGGAGAGGAGGGCGAGAACAGTTACCAAATAGATACTAATAAATAATACAGTTAGTGGTTATTCAAGACAATAATTATGATTGAAACTATCATGACTAATCTTATTTTCTCATTATCAAAAAAAAAAAAAAAACACAAAACAATGAACCTGAATCAAAACATACAAACAAATAACACCTCTGGGAAGTTAAACTCATTAGTTTTAATCAATTATAGCAAGTATTAAACACTGTTTTATTTTTATTTGTTTTCAACACATCACAAATGCAGTTTCCACTCCATCCATTCCTACCAGCTCTCGCATACCCAGATCCACAGCTTCTATGTTTCACTTCAGAAAAGAGCAGGCTTCCCAGAGTACCAGCCAGAAATGTATAACAAGATACAAAAGACCTAAGGAAATATTAAAATAGGATGATGCCCAATAACTTGAAACCCACTCCACAAGTGGGAACCCATGCCTGACAATGCCTGGATGGGCAGAAATTGGAGACTGGATAGACCAGAGACTTAGGGTAGAACCAAACATGAATGTTCTTTTGGAAAAATTATTCTTAAGAATATTGTGCTATTCTCATAGACAGGTCCCTAGTCTAGTCATCATTAGACAGGCTTCTGTCTGCGGTATATGGGAGCAGATACACAGACTGAAAGTGAGACATGGTGCAGAGAGAGAGAGAAAGAGAGAGAGAGAGAACAAATTGGGGCTCTCTCCCCAACCTCCCCACAGAAATCGGGTAACCAGAGAAAGAAGAAGGAAAATCTGTGGGAGTCAGAGGGGAAGAGTGGACTCACAGAGACTGAAGTATCATGCACAGGCCTGCATAGGTCTGCATCTGGTCATCTGTATGTAGGTTATGGTGTTAGCTTTGAGTTTTTGTGGGACTCCTAAAAGTGGAAACAGGTATATCTCAGACACTTTTGTCTGCTCTTGAGACCCTTTTCCTCCTGTTGGGTTGCCTTTTCCAGTCTTGATAGGAGGGCTTATGCCTTGTCTTGTTGTATCTTGTTTTGTCCTGTTGGGCTGTCATGGTTTGGAGACCTGCTCTTTTCTGAAAAGGACATTGAGGGGGTGTGAATCTTTAGAAGAGTGTTGGGGAGGAGGTGTTGGGAGAAGGGGAGTGAGGGAAACTGAGGTTGGCATGTGCTGTAGGACAGCATATGCTTCAATAAAAGGGATAAGAAGGGGGTTGCCAAAATGCACAAGACATCTTGAGGTTATTGCTGAATGCAGTGGAATAAAGCCTTCAAAACAAAATTATGCTTTTCTCCCCCTCTTAGTGAGTCCCTTTTTTGTGCCATCCATCATATGTTCATTCCCTGTAATTCCATTTTTTTGAAACACAAATTTTTTGTTTTATTATTTCATCCCTTTCCTTCTTCCTCTCCAATCATATCCATTCATGATTTTTTTTTCTTCTGAGTTCCTAAAGTGATTCAAAATTCTACATGATGTCAACATTGCTTCCATTCACTAGGAGCTTACTATTGTGTTGAGAATAATAAGCACCAACCATGTAGCTGCAGACCTTACTGCTGACAGAGGTGAGGTGGAGAAGGAAAAACGAGGAGGAGAGTAGAGGAGAGGGAGTGGAGAGAGGAAGGAGGAGGAGGCAGATGACAATGAGGAGAGAATACAGATTTGCACAGTCACATGTGTGTAATTATACCTCTTCATAAAAGTCTACATTTTGCTTTGAAGGATAATTTATAGAATATTTCCTGACACATCCACTTATTAGATGTTTTTGGGATCAACAATCTAATGACAGAAATGCAATGCTCCCACTAACCTTCTCTCAGCTTTTACAAAGACTGTAAAGATCTACAGTGTTTATTGATAATTTTCAGCTTCTATTCACTATTCTGTGTCATCATACTAGGCTTCTGAAACAGGAAGTGCATTGAAAACTTGGCTCAGGGAAGCTATTCTACCAATGACTCAATCATTAGTAGCCATTTTAGCTTTTTTTTTTTTTTTTAAAAAAAAACAAATTTCCTATATCTATAAAATGGAATAAGGAACACTTACATCATAGGTGACCTGCTACATAGTATGATGACAATAAATAATGTTTAATAAGCAAATTCAATCAATCAATTCTGGAGCTGGCAGTCTTTTCTATCAATCACAAATCCTTGGCATCTTTAAATTTTTTTTTTTTTTTTTGGCTACATGTCTTTCTCCATACCCTATTTCACCAAGTAATCCTTAGTCTGAATTACCACAGAACCACCTTCTGTGTGTTTCTTTTCTTTCTTTCTTTTTTTTTTTTTTTTTTTTTTTTTTTTTTAGTTTTTCAAGAAGAGCTTCTCTGTTTTGCTTTGGACCCTGTCCTGGAACTTGCTCTGCAGACCAGGCTGTCCTCAAACTCACAGAGGCCTGCCTCTGCCTCCTGAGTGCTGGGACTAAAGACGTACACCACCAATGCCTGGCTTTCTGTGTGTTTCTATGTCTTCCTCACTCTACATTCTGCTTAGAAAGCTCCCTTTATTCCCAATCTCCATTCAAAACCCCAGCTACTCATTAAAACTCTTACAAATGTCATATTTCTTCAAGAAGCAACCTTTAATCCCTTTAAAATTTTCCTTGTCTTCCACAGAGTGTTTCTAAATTATTTTTTTTAATTTGCAGAATTATCTGTTGATTTATTAAATGCACTTTCCATCTTATTTCCTTCGCTAGTCAATAAGAGTGTTTAGGTTGATCAAATCTTAGTCATTTTTTTTCCTGTATCCTTTGTTGGGAAATGTAATTTTGTGCATGTGAATTATATTCACAGAGAAAAGCACATGTTAATGCACAACAGTAAATAGGATTAATTCCACTTATTTTGTTTGCAATGTATTTTTCAATGCTAAACTGATAAACATAGATCAGCCAAATGATGTATCAGAACAGTATGAGAAAGACTTATACTTCATCACCACATAGTATAATATCAAAGTTGTATAGCAATGCATTTCCACTTAATTAAGGGAGGGACAGAGGCCAGGTGACATAAACTCTCTTATTCTGGCACTACTTAAATCTGTAGAATCATACAGACATTTTCATTGATGAAAGGAGTAGAACTGTCCAGGCATAGCTTCTTAATTCAGATCATGACTAGCATGGGAGTAAAAAGACAAACATTATGAGCATTCAGCAAATGGACATCTAAGGAAGTATCAGAGATACCAAGGTTTTTTTTTTTTTTTTTTTTTTTTTTATTTGCTGAGTAACTACTCTTCGATTTTCACAACACAGAGGACGTAAGTTTCTGTATTTTCCAATGACGAAAATACAACACTGGATATATAAAAAATTAATTAAAGTTTAAACCTAACTACCTAAAATAAAATAAGTTTGAAAAATAAAAGTGTTACGCCTTGAAAACCTAGAGAGGTGTTGGAAAATAAAACGTAATTTGGAAATTGGAAAAATATAAATGTTAGAAGCAAGATCAGAGCAAAAACAACATGTGAAGGTAAGAGTAGATAAAACATGAGGAAACTTCTAAAATCAGTCCTGGGTAATGGGAAGAAAAGTATTAATAATCTGGAAATGAAATATCTCAATTTGAGAATAAAATAAAAAATAAAACATGTAACACGGTATAGGTAAAAGCGAAATACCAGGTAGGTTTACATATGCTTTCAAATCTTAATTGTTCAGGGAACTTAACTTGAAATTAGATGGAAAATAATCCAGTTTGGATAATAGTTTTTATTCTCTCTCTCTCTCTATCTCTCACTCTCTCCTATTTAAATTATAAACAATCTTGTTTTATGTATTAATCCCAGTTCCCTCTTGCTCCTACCCTCCCATGTCCCCCACTGACCCTCCATTTCATCCCTTCCCTTTTTTCTCCCCAGGGAGGGTGAGGCCTTCCACAGAGGATCATCACAGTTTGTCACATCATGTGGAGCAGGGCCTAGGCCCT